TCCTCTTTCCTGTCCACAGGTCCCTGGCAGCTGGAGTGAGGATCCATCCCACCTCCCAGCCCACCTACCTCCACACCAGCGTGACTCACCCACAGGGAATGACGGGGGCTCCAATAACCCCAGGCAGCTTCTAATGCAAATGTTAATAAGGCACCGGGTGTACAATAATAACAAAAGTGGGCAGCTTGTTTGATAAATCATGGTCTTTTGAAGTCTGATCTTTCAGAAACCCCCCCAAACAGGTCCCCAGTGGGGAAGTGCAGGAAAATCCCCAGCCCCTTCCAGCTGAGCTCACTGCTCACCCAGTCACTGCAGACCCTTCAGTGGCACTTCCCACTCTGTAATTTTCCTGCTGCTGCCCCCACAGCCTGAGATCCAGACAGTGAGGAGGTGCTGGACCCCACCACCACGGCACCTTTCATGCTCTGCCATTCTCTCCCGTGGCTTTTACTGATTACATGCTCACAGCTTAGCAACATCCAGGAAAGAAGAAAAATCCCTTGGTACTACTGAGGAGATGGTGTCAGGGGGAGGATCCCCCTGTGGGTGCCCTGTGCTTTCTCACCCCCTGCTCCTGGTCACTGTCCCCAGCCCAGGCAGCTGCTCCACTGCTGGATGCAATGGTGGAGCATGCTGTGGAATCAGAGAATCCCACAGTCATGGAATATCCTGAGCTGGAAAAGACCCACAAGGAGTCCAGCTCGTGTCCCTGCCAGAACCCCAACAATCCCACCCTGGGATCCCTGGGAGCGGGATCCAAAGGCTCCTGGAGCTCTGCCAGCCTCGGGGCCATGCCCATTCCCTGGGCAGCCTGGGCAGTGCCAGCACCCTCTGAGGATGAACCTGTCCCTAGTGCTAATGCCCTTCACATCACTCCTGCTGCAGGTCCCATCTCCTGCATCCTGCAGGACTCCCTGGCAGCCTCGGGGGCCGGGCAGGATGGGGCCTGACCAGCACTGGATGGCCCCACAGCAGCAGCTCTCCAGCACCCCAGGATGCACAGACACCCCTCGGGCTGTGCCCTCTCCATGACCAGGCTGCCCTTTGACAAAGCCAAGGCAGCCCTGGCTCCAGAGCTGCCAATGACATGGTGAGGGATCGAGTGACAGGGGCAGTGTCCAGCAGGGACAGCCTCTGTCCAGCCCTGCTGGGGGCTCCAGCAAACCCTCAGCCTCAGGTGAGATCAAGGACAAGAAAGGAAAAATCAAGGGCAAAAAATATGTGTGGCAGCTGAATACCAAGGTATTAAGTTTCCAGCCTTTCTTTAGGGGGAAAAATCCAACATTTATAAAGCTGGAAAAAAAGAAAATGGATCAAGCTAGTGTTGATGTCAAAGAGGGATTCAGTTGAGAATAGACTTGAAGGGAATTTTATTTATGGTGCAGCTACTGGGTGGGCATCTGTGACCTTTAGAAAATGGATTAAAGCCTTTCTATACCCGGCTCCAGGCTGTGTGAATTATTAAAGCAACAAAATCATGAAGTTGAAGTACTTGTACAAAGAAACCCAGACACAGCCAGCCCTCGCTGGAGGGTCAGTGGAGCTGGGCACAGGGACCAGGACCCCCAGCTCCTCTGGAGCAAACTGAAAGCCAGGCCCCCCCAGGCTCCCACCCCAGGTATACTGGTTCCCTCTGGAAGATTCCATTTCCTGCTGCTGCTCATTCCAGCCCCAGCCCTGGTTTAATCCCCTATTTCCAACGGCACACAAAGGCACAAATCCACGCTGAAAAACTTCAGACGTGTTCTTATGTCTTCTCAGCAGTGAAGTGTAAATAATGAATTCCCACAGCCCCATCCAGCTCCTTATCCCTTGGAAAAGGCAGCTGGGGCTGCAGAGCCACGAGGGAAGCCAGGTGGGAGGAGGAGGTCAGGGGCAAACAGCCCCCGCTGCCTCACGGGGCTGAAGCCACAAGAGGCCAATAAAACAGGCAGAGCTCCCGGTCCTGCAATGCCACCTCTGCCTCGGGGCATCTCTGCGTCTCATGCTGGCTCTGGTGAAGCACAATGAACCTCAGAGCACATTTCCCACTGCAACAGGGCCACAAACTGCACCCCAGTCCAGAAACCCCCTCCTGGCTGCTGCTCCTCGGGAAACGGCATCAGAGCAGCCAAAGCCTGGGCAGCTGCTGCTGCTGCTGCTGCTGCTTGGAAAGGAGCCTGTGCTGCAGGAGGAACACCATGCTGATATTAAATCACTGAAAATCAAATCATATCACCTCTACTATGTGTGGAAAATATTCCACACTTGCTAATTGGTGTAAACATGGAGTTGAACCTGACCTTCATTTGATTAATTGTATCTTAAAGCTGATTAAACCCATCTCTAGAAAACAGAAATTGGCCATTCATTGCAGATATGCCAAAACCACAGCTCTGGGGCTCTCAGGCTCTTCAAAAGGGATTTCTGAGTCCCTTTTCCCTTCATTTCCTACAGTTCCCACAAGGAGGATGTCACCATCTGTCCTGAGAGGTGCACAAAGTGACCATGGAAGGAAATGCTGTACCCAAGGCCACCCCAGGCGCTGGCCCCGGTCCTGTCACCATGAGATCACACAGTGCCACAGCTCCCACAGGTCACTCACACACCCAGGGTCTGCTCGCACACTGGCTCCCAAATATCTTCCTGAATGTGGCCAGGGAGTTTAACCAAGCATATCAAGTCACTCCTAAACTTTTAGGAACACTTGCCAGGTAGGTAGTTTTATGTTTTCTGTAATTTGATGTGAGTTGTAAATGACTTGGTAAACACAAATGCTTTTCTCAGTGTCAGAGGAAATTCAGCATATTGACAAAGTCATCCAGAAAGATGACAGATGAATCATTTCAGCATTTTGTTGAAAGTGTGTGTATGGTTCTGCTGCCTGACAGACTGCTACGTGCTAGACTTAACCTTTGTGCAACACAGAGCAAGCAGCTGCAGGGAGCAGCCACGGGGAGCAGCTCTCTGCAGAGCCCAGGGACTCCTGCCCTGGGACAAGAACTGGCTCTTCTCTGGTTCATGTTCTGAGCAGAATTAATTTTCCAGGTGCTGCTCCTTAATGGAATAAAACCTCCTTGTCTGGAAAGTTTATATGTGAAGTATGAATCTTCTCCTACCAGCTCAAAACAAGCTGCTCTTTTTCACTGAGGTTTGGAGTTAGTGTTTAGCCTTTGTGAGCTGAAGACACAAGACCTTGAGTGTTCCTGTTCTCACCAGGAGTGTGTGGGGAGACTTTCTTCTGCTGTTTGCCTTATCCTCACAGCGCAAGGGCTGAGCTGGTATTTAATCATTTGCCATCATTCAACAGAAGCCCAGAAATGTGACAGAGCTCTGCTGCATGCTCTCGCCTCTCCTTGCTCAAGGGATGTGGCTGCAAAGAGGGGTGAGTGTTTCAAACCACCCCCTCAACCCGTCACAGTGACTTGCACACTGCTGGCAATCTATTTCCATTACCCTGGAAGTCCCAGGCAGACTCTCATGGAAGCCCAGCAGGAATTCACGTGGGTGGGTTGTGCCAGAGCAGGGTAATGGATCTCCTGGTGTTCATCAGGGAACTGAGGCTGGATGGGAACATCTTCTCTAGAAAAGAAGCACTGATGGCAGCACTGGGACTGAGTGTCCCCTGTCCTGCCTCTCAGAACAGTTGGACCCTCCCCATACAGACCACAGCTGATTTTGTGCTGCCACTGTTACGCAGCACCACAACTGCTTAATACACATGAAGTATTCAAAAAGAGATTTCAGTAATTGGTAATATTTGGGTTCTTCTGACCAAACAGGTCTCAGATCTCCTGGGAAATTTCTGCTTTTGCAAAATTTCCATCTTCCAGCCATCCAAGTATAGGCCAGGCTGCTCCCCAGGCTGTGGCCCAGTGGAACAAGACCTCGTCAGGCTGTACCACAGAGGAAGAAGGCAAAGGACAGTGTGGGTCATCTCCAGACCCTCGTGGCATCAGCTTTTGATCAAAGTGTGATGGCAGAAACCAGCCAAGATGACCTGACCAGAGGGAAACGCGAGCAGGTGCAGTTTGCCCCACCACTCAGCTGTCCTGTTGATGTCCCCAGTGCATGGGGACACTTGTGGCACCCACTGACCCAGGCTGGGCCCTTCCACAGCTTTGACACTGCACATTTCACACTATTTCCACGGCCATGTCTGCCCCCAAAGCCCCAGTGCTGGCACACAGCCCCACCCACACAAGCAGGTGACACACCTGAGCCTGCAGTGTCCGGGATCAGCGCTGGCACTGCCGCTCCCAGCTCTCACCCACCACACACAGGGGAGTGAGGCTGCACAGGGGGCACCCCTGCTGCTGGCTGCAGCAGAGCACAGTGACAGAAGCACTGCAGAGCCCCAGCACAGCCCTGTGCTGTCAGACATCCCACGGGCACCGTGCTGGCACTGCCAGAGCAGGGGCAAACGCCAGAGGCACCTGCACAGGGGCAGGGGGCCAGCCAGAGGAACAGGGAATGGAGAAGGACTGGCACTAGGAAACCAACAGTAACCGACTCCAGAGATACACAGCTTTTTGATCATCACCTCCCACATCCTCCCACATGCTTGGCAAGAAAAGCCAGTTAAAAATAAACAACAAAACCTCTTCAGCATAACTGATTTCTGATTGGGAAAACAGCCCAGGACTTCACAGAACCCTCCTGACCCAAGTGCCAGCTCAGTCAAGCACCAAGGATAACTTCCAGCACCTTCCTGCCTCACTGCCCCCATCACAACCCGGACATCCCCACAGGAAACTGAAAACATAAAGAATGTTTGCTGTAAAATGGTCACAATTGTGCTGGTAACTTACAACACATCTGTTGCACCACGATGCCAAGAATTACAGCAAAGCCAAATGGCAACAAGGTATTTTCCTGAACATTTTTCCTGTGTTGACTGAGCAGCCATCATAAAAAAATAGAAAAATAGCCAATTTCAGCCCCATTACTGTTCCAATAAACCACAAATACATAACAGCAGACACCTGATAAACCATGCAAGACTGAGAGCTCAAGCCTACCTTGCCAAAGCTTCCCTTCCCAATGGCCCGGAGAATCTGGAAGTGGTCAAAGTTCACTACAAGGCAAGGAAAAAAGAATTTACATTTGTAAATGCTTTACTACAAATAAGCTTGCATCCTAAAGAAGGCAAGGAGACAACTACAGAGCATTGGCCAAGCTTTTACTAAAGGTTTTCCTCTGGGGAAGCTGCAGGACAGCAGCTGCTTTGCTTTCAAGTCTCTTCACGAGCTGGCAGAGGGTTGGATGAGATTACTAAATGAGTGGTTTAGCACAAAGTAAAATACAGCTTCGACCTGTGTGGATCCAGGGGGAGCTTCACAGAGCTCAGGAGCAAACTGCAAGTGTGGCAGAGCGGAGAGCGTGGTGAGACCCTGCCCTACACTGTGTCCTGCCCTCTGCCCACTACCTCACAAACAGTGCCCACTGCCCCACAAACACTGCCCACTGCCCCACAAACACTGCCCATTGCCCCACAAACACTGCCCACTGCCCCACAAACACTGCCCATTGCCCCACAAACACTGCCCACTGCCCCACTGCCCCACAAACACTGCCCACTGCCCCACTGCCCCACAAACACTGCCCATTGCCCCACAAACACTGCCCACTGCCCCACAAACACTGCCCACTGCCCCACAAACACTGCCCACTGCCCCTGCCCCACTGCACACTGCCCCATTGCCCACTGCCCCACAAACACTGCCCCACAAACACTGCCCACTGCCCCTGCCCCACTGCACACTGCCCCATTGCCCACTGCCCCACAAACACTGCCCCACAAACACTGCCCACTGCCCCACTGCCCACTGCCCACTGCCCACTGCCCCTGCCCCACTGCCCACTGCCCCTGCCCCCTGTGCTCAGCCAGCGCTGGGTGTGCTGTGGTTGCTGCTGCCAAAGGACAGCGTTAGGGACAGGGACAGCCCTCCTCTCCCTTCACATGCAGACCCATCTGTGGAAGAGATCCATAGTTTTTCAGAGCCAGCGTGAGGAGCAATGACAAGAGATGATCGTGCAGCTGTAACACTCAGCCACTGACTCCATCAGCTGCTGCTGCAAACAAAATTATTTTTATACCAAAGTACTGCTGTGATTTAATTTAATATCAGTGTTAAATAAAGAAGACAAGGTGAGGAGGAGCTTGCTGATGGACTGAGCCCACCTGCTCAGATACAGCTGTCAGCCCTTGCCAGCTGTACCATGAGACCCTCCCCTGCAGGGGACCCTCAGCATTCCTTGCCACATGTCTGGATGAAAAGAAATGCTTGGCATGGGCTTGGGGTTTGCAGCATAAGGTGGTCAACAATGAGCACTGAGCCTGTTGGCTGGCCACAGAGACCAAAATCACTCAGGAGGAGTGGGAACAAAGAATTCACTATAAATATTATGAGTCCCACTCCCAGATCTTAAATAAATGCACATCTGTCATCTCTGAGGATGAATCAAGAGCCCACGCATGCCCATGGAGTTCCTATTACCCTTTTGTGCTAGGCTTATATCCAAAATATTGTTATTGTCACTTTTGTGGGACGTTTTCTGCAGGAGAGCTCAGAAAACTTTGCCAAATGAAACTGAGAACAGAATCTGGGCCAGCTCGTACTCCGTGTGTCCCTGCACTCCCAGTTCCCTCCCTCGGGGATGCTGAAGGGCAGAAGCACCACGACTGCTCCATGTTTAGTTGGTTTAGTTGGTTTAGCTGACTGGGTGGTGATCAGTCAAGGGCTGCACTCCTTGATCTTGGCTAAGGATCTTATTCCACCCTCAATGACTCTGTGACCTGCCCGAGATCTCTCCAGGAGACCCCAAACAGACCCCATGGGGACACCAGTGTCCCCAAACCTTCTGACAGCCTCCCCCATCTCCAGGGGAAGGGCTCAGCTCCACGGGTGCTGTGTCACCTCCTCATCACCTCCCTCCTCTGTGGGCCTTTTGTTTCAGCAGTGATTTTACTGAGGATCTTCCTCCCTCTCCTACTAGAGGGGCTGTAGTGAGCAATGCAAAACAGCAGCTTCAGCTTCACAAGTATTCTGTCCGAAATGTTCTGGCCAAAGCATTTGGAGCAACAGATCAAATGTTTTCCACGTGCAACCAAATCCACTGGCTGACCTCCTGTCACCAAAAGGATGCCCAGCTACAGGGAGCCCCTTGGAAGGGCAGCGTTTTCTTGACAATTCACCCACATGCAAGTGCTCTGCCATCACTCCAGGAGGAGAGCTTTTGATAATTCTTCTTTATAATGTTTGGAATATTGTGTAAAAAGGCATTGCTTCTGAGAAAACAAACCCCAAAGTGTCATTTCCACGTATCCATGACTACAACTGATCTGGGAAGCCTGCTCGAGCCAGCAGGCAGGAAACAAACCTAGAAATGAATATTCACCAGGCCCTTGAACCTATCAGAAGAGATGTCACTTTTAATAAATTAATACAGAGTTCTGCTGATGGGAAGTTCGGATGATGCACTGCCTGGTTTCCCAGTTCCAGTATTTTCTGCAGGATTCAGTAGGCAATCTGATAATTCTGTGGAAGTAAACGATTCTAAGATTACACGATCCCAATAAAGCAAAAGCAATCTCAGCATGTGAAGAAGAAAATCATAGTAGCAGTGTGCTGCTTTTTGTGCACAGCACAGTGGATTACTAAGAATGTTAACTTATCACTACGGAATACGTGATTATCCCTAAAATAGAAATCCTGAACCTGCCTGGAACAACTGCATATGCTCCAGAGGCTCTGCTCTCTGGGCTGCCAGGAGAAAGCTGTCATTCACCCCCAGCCAGCAGGGCTGGCTGACTCTGGGGGCACTGCTAGGAGCCTGAGTCACAGTCACAGCGGAGCTTGGGTGGCAGGAGCAGGAGGGGACAGCTGCTGCCTCTGCCAGGCCCTGCTCACCCACTGCTCTGGCTCTGCACAGCTCCAGCCACAGGCTGGGGGGCAGAAACAGCCCTGGCTTCAGGAGGAGCCAGTCACTCACAGGGAGCTGCAAACCTGGGGGCTTCAGGAAGCATTTCTGTACAGAGGCTGCTCGAGCCTGGAACAGGCGTCCCGCAGCCATGGTCATGATCCAAGCCCATCAGGCTCAGGAGGCACTTGCACAATGCCCTTAATGGCATGCTTCAGCTTTGGGCACTCCTGAAGCACCAAGCACAGGGACTAGATCAGTCTAGGTGAGGAGTGGGACTAGTAGGTGCCTTACAACTGAAAATATTCTGTTCTTCTGTTCCATCCCATCCCATCCCATCCCATCCCATCCCATCCCATCCCATCCCATCCCATCCTATCCCATCCCATCCCATCCTATCCCATCCCCATCCCATCCCCATCCCATCCCCATCCCCATCCCATCCCATCCCATCCCATCCCATCCCATCCCATCCCCACCTGCAATGTGCAAACAGGAGGAGCTGACTTGCCCCCCACAGCCAGCCCATGCCCTGCCTGTGTGCAATGCCCAGGGTGCTCCCTCAGCTCCTCACAGGAACAGGACACTCACTGTTCCAGCAGCTCCTCACCACCGTGGCACCTCGGCAGGGAGGGGAACCACGGGACAGGAGACGCTGGCATTTGCCATGCGCTGCTTCCCGGCTCTCCCTGGCAGCGAGTGACAAACCATGAATCACAAATAAAATAAACACCATAGCCTGGGGCTGTGGCTTTGCTGTGGCTCTGCTCTCCAGCTCCAGGAGTGCGTGATGAGCGGGATGGCAGGGATGGATGGCAGGGATGGATGGCAGGGATGGCAGGGATGGATGGCAGGGATGGATGGCAGGGATGGATGGCAAGGATGCCAGGGATGGATGGCAGGGATAGATGGCAGGGATGGATGGCAGGGATGGATGGCAAGGATGGATGGCAAGGATGGATGGCAGGGATGGATGGCAAGGATGGATGGCAAGGATGGCAGGGATGGATGGCAGGGCTCCACGTGCCCACAGGACCTCCCCAAACCTCACGCAGCCCAGCCCTGCCCACTGCACAACAGAGTGCCAGGTGCTGCTCTGACATCCCTGTAATTAAGACCTCATTGTAATCACAAGATGTACTGTGGGATAAAGCAGGCTGGATACACAGCTTCCACTGCCAGTGAAATAGAGAGAATGAGGAGTACATTTCCCCATTTCCCTGCAAAAACTCATTGTACAGAAGGATGAGGGATGCAAAAAAAAAAAAAAAAGAAAAGAGAGCTTTGTCTTCACTATTTCAAAATTATTAATGTTTTCATTACTTTTTGCTATTTATTCCACATTTATTTGCAAGATACCTAAAAGCAATACTTCAGAGACACAGTGGACTCCCCGTGAGTGTTCAACATCAGGACCTGGTGTTAATCTCCAGCAGCAGGAGAACAATACAGTAGGATGCAGTTAGTAAACCTGGTCTACAACACCCCCAAATCTGGGGAAGCCAGCAAAATAAATCACATGTTAAGGTTCAAGTCAACCTTTTACTCTTTGGCTGCATGTTTTCCAGCATCATTAATACCAACAGGGACATTTAACTCCAAGAATGATTCTCTTCAACACTAAAGGCCTAAGGAATAATTTTTTTAATCTTGTAACAGCAAATGTGTCAGGGTAGCATGACATGATCCACTTTCTGTCAACATATTTCTAGACATTGGCATAACAAATAGCATTTCCCTACCCACTGTCTTTCTGCAACGTAGCTTGGAAGAAGCACCCCAGTAACTGATGTAGAAACATTAAATTGTGGCCACAGAAACCACAAGTTTGCTGCCACAGAATGCCGTGAGTTCCATCTGGCAGGAAGGAGAGTTCCAGCTTTGCTGCAAAGCCACCACACACAGGGTGACACGGGAGGTGAGGCCACCCCGGCTGGGACAGAGGGGGCATCAGGACACGGGCATGGGGGCCTGCACAGGGCACGGCAGGCAGGGCAAGAGGACAGGACAGGAAGCCAGCAGGACAAAGAGATGGGGGGGGATTTGGGGCAGCTCTGGGGCTCTGGGAGCCTGGGCAGGAATCAGGCACAGAAGGGAAGGAGGCAGAGCCACATGGGGAGCAGCAGCACCATGGCAGACAGGGAGCATCCCCAG